ACAAAGATAAAGCAAGACTGAAAAGAAAGAAATTACTTTTTCCTTTCCTAGCTTGGAAATTATGAAAATCTTAATATTCAACAGCTCAGAGGTGGAGCTGGACTAACCTACGGGCCTGACCACTTCTTTCCATTACAAAATCGTATCCTCAGTTGCTTGCCAAATATTAAAAAGTTGTGCTGCTATTTCCGATGACAGGTTCAACCAAACTGGGGATTTTTGGGGGAAATTTCAGCTGTGTCCTTCACAGAAGACAGCATTCTTGTGGAAAAAAAAATTCATATATGGTTAAAGATTGTATCATCTTACTGTGATACATAACGCTCACATAAGATGGGAATGAAAATTATAAGGCAATATTAATTTTGGAATATCCAAAGTTTTTTTTTGAGTGATTTACCTTAGAATTTTAATATTCACTTAAGCTACAGATTTCTGAGAGAAGTGGATGAAAAACACAACAACAGATTCTTGCAATAATACCATGCAACCATAAGATAAATATTTTTGATTTGCTTTTATGTTTTATGGCAACAAAATGGATTGAAATATTTTACAATAATATTCAATTATTCAGGTTTTCCAGTGCCTGAATCATATTTCAATTTATTTTTTGAGGACTCTAATGAGTTAAAACAATACAGAAGTATAGCCATACCATCTGTCAAGGTTAACTTTAATGGTGATGATTATGACTTTATAAGCACCTTTCTTTAATTTGACTACATTTCTTTTACTTTAAATTATTTATATACCCTGATGTGGTTCTTGCTTAGGAATGCTCTAAAAAGCTATTTAAAAAGTCACAAAAACAACAAACTTGAAAACCAAAGACGATTATTCCAAGATATGAGTAGCAGTTTGAAAGTATTTCAGCTTCAAATTGTTGACTTAAGCTTAGGACATAATTTACTAGTACAGTTTCCTTCACACTATTCTAGGAAACCATAAAGTTGATGGAAAATACAGCTAATTTCTCTCTCCATCTCTCCTTTACAGAACACTACACAAACATATCTGTCTTAAAGAGAGACAAAGTAAGATACTTCATCCTACTCTCCATGTTTTTTGGCACTCCTCTGAGATCACTCAATGTTATTTAATCTTTTGTTTACTGTTGAGTAGAAATATTTAAGATGAGGAGTATACCTTTTGGCTGCTACAAATCAAAAGTTTCAAGGAGAAGTTTCTCCTTGAAAAGGGCATCCTTAAGTTCTTTTCAGGAAAACTCTCCAAATTCTCCTTCTTAAAATAGCCACTAATTCCAGCTGTCCTTAATAGGACTGCTGATATGCCACAGCTGAGTGCTGTCTTCCTTTGTTTCCCAAGAAAAGTTTCCTTCAGGAAAAAAAGCCCTGTGTCCTTACAAGAACTACCTATCTTACATAGTGAGCATGCCAAACGAAAACCAATTTTAAGCCTGCAACAGGAACCAGGGCTTCCATATATATTTACTCGGGGCTTACCTCTGAAGAAACATAAAYAGATATATTTACTGCCACCTCTCAAGTACAAAGTCAGCTCATATTTGCACACAAATAGATCTGTGTATAAACCACCCATCTGAAGGCTGTGATGGCTGTCTCCCAGATAGGGAGTATTACTTTTTGCTTGTGTGTTGTCTTATTACAGGATAGTCATTACAATAAAACTCAAGAATAAGTCAATACTGACCTCTATCAATGACACAYTTTAGCACACTTGAAGAACACTTGAGTTTTAGCTGGTTCAGATAGAACTGGTAGCAGAGATTAGAACCAAAGGTAAAACACAGCAAGAGAATTARAATTAAAAAGCAACAGCTTCTGTCGAGTTTAAATCAGGGAGAACAGCAGCAGACCTCCTTTGGACTGCGGTCACAACCAGAGCAGAGACTGTGAGAGCTCACATTTGACATAACCMGTTTGACCTAAGGAGAAAAGCGGAATTGCAGCAGCCCCAAACARCAGCAGCAGYAGCAATAGCAGCAGCAGCCGGGCAGGCAGCAGTGACATTCCAGCCCGGAGGAAACAGAAGCCTTTTAGGGCACTCACTTTCCCAGGAAGTCCCACACAAACCCCCCTACGTGTTGCGGTGCGGGGACCGACACCTGGTAGGGAGGGTGCAATTTGCGGGAGGCGTGCTTTCTGAGGAAAGGCACAGTCACAAACACCCCCCCAGACAAAACAAAACAACACAACTCGGGGAACGGGGCGGGACAGGACACGTGGGAAGAAAAAGCGAGGAAGGAAACAGAACACAAAATGAAAAGTTACAGAGAGACAGGAGGTTATGGAATGGCAATACAAAAAGCAAACAGTTAGTTACAAAGGAAGTGARTAACCAGACAGCTACAAAACTCTCTACACCATCACAATCGGGCACAAAAACAGGGCTCTTTGCCCATAGAAATGTGGACTTAGGGCCCACCTTCCCATAAGAAAAAGTAAAATCCTCCCCACAGAGAATATATACGAGGTTGTGCTTTCAACTTCGTGTTGACTCTAGAATATTTTTCAAACTTTTGCACAGCATGCACCAYAACACATTGTTTTTAATATCTTTTGTTCCATTCACAGCTGAAAAACAATGTCACCCACTCAGTAACTGYGACAGCTACTGAAGAGTGGAAGCATTTCCCTCTTTATGTTAACTTAAACACAGGCAGCTTTGCCTACATTGACAAGGTCTGAGAGAATATTTTCTGCTTTTTATTTCATCTTCCTCTCCCTACTGTTTCTTCTCTTGCTCTGTTCCTCTATGCACATGTCCCTAATAGGCAGCACATCTCTGCTGTGGATGAACTGTGACACTTTTTTTCAATTCCTGCCAATGTATGGTCTAGTTCTACAGGGAAGAAAGACTCTCTTTTGAATAATCYCATTCTTTTTAGTACAGTTATTCTCTGAATGTGACTTATTTCTCCTCATCTTGTTCCACATGGAATATTGACTGTTCCTGATATGCACAGCAGTATTTCCTGTTTAGTTTAATGACAATTGTTTCTGCAAGCACCAAGGTTCTTCTTTGCACAACAGAGTTCGATCAGCTGTAGAAGCATTAGAAGGCAGGATAATTTCTAGCTCTCTCTGCATGGACTACCATTTGGGAAGACTTTTAAAAGGCAAAATTATCTATTATTTTCCAGGACAACAAGACTCTAGCTCCAAAAGATGTATGTAACACACCTGGACACACAGGTTCAGCCATGAAAGAATATTTTATAAACAAGCATTAGAGATAAAAACAGGGCCAACCTATATGTTAAATAGGCATGATAAAATCTCTGCTTTATGCAAAAACTCACAAGAAGAGAGCAAGTTTTCAGGGAATAGTGGTTTAGGGGAGCAGTTGAAAACAACTAAGGTCAAACAGAAATTCCAACAATTATTAAGAAAAAGAGAAACTACCAGCTAAAACCTCACTATAAAGTATCTGGAACTTTCTACTCTTTCTCCAGTGCTGAGATTATATTACAGTTCCACCTGAAAAATCATTTCAGATGTTGATACTTTGCTAATTCATCACACTAACAATATCCAAATTAGATCYCTAGATCGTGAAGATTTTTTCTATTTCCACTTAAGAGTGGCTACAGAACACAAAAACTTAGATTTTTTTTTTCCCCCATCTTGGTTTACTCAGCTGCTGGCAGTCACATGATAACAAAAATAATCTTTCCTTTTGCATAGTCAAAATATCTATTCTAATTACTAGAAATAAGAGAAAACATATTCTACGTTATCTCAGTATTGGTAGAAAGGGTAACAACTCAAAAAGAAGGAATGGATAAAACAGAATAGTCAAAGTGTTTACCAAATTGTTATGGAATGATGATGTCTTGTCATTTAGGGGTTTTATGCTTTCATAGTAAGAGTTTGGTCTCTGACTGAAACAGTAAGAAACTACCCCGTAACATGAAAAATAATAATTGCCTCACAGATCTCTAGAAGTGCATCTTTTCAAAGAAAAAGCTTGCTTTCTAGCTCTGAAGATGGTGCAATTGCTTATATCTATAAAAGAGAAGGAGATTCATTTTAATTTCTTTCTTTTCTTTTGYAGACTATGAAYTTTTTTGTTTATAGGCCACTTGTTCACTGTCAGATGCTGCTAGCCAAATCGTGATTAGTTTCTGAATGCTAATGTAATAAAAAAATCAGGCTTGCATTAAACGCATGTGTAAGAAGAAAGTTCTCTTCCTGTCATTTCAAACTCCTCTAGGAATCAGGCTGAGGCACAATGCATGTTTCTGACTTCTCTTCCTAAACAGTAGTTACTTATGCACAAAGAAAAATAACCCCGAACAGGTATTACTGCCTAGAAATTCACTTTTGGCCCCCTGTAAGATGAAAAAATGACAGAACACACAATCCAATTCAGATCTTTCCCAAGATGTATTACTTATAATTGTGATACAAATGTAATAGAATCATAATAAATTATAATTTTTGTTTGGGACATTATAGTCTTGAAAAAAATCAGAGCCTCCTGGCTCCAAGAAAAAGATGGAAAATGTTGAGAAGTACTGAATCAAGTTTTGCTCAGACAACAGCAAATCTGTTCATTCAGGCTTCACTTGGGCCAAAGTTTACCTGTGCTCCTATCAGTACAAACAGTTAAGAGGCCACTTGTCAGAAGAATGTGAGTAACTGGTATCACCAAACTCTGCAAAGTAATTTTCTTATTTGTATTTGCAAGAGCTATGCCTGAAGAATTTATCAAAACAACAARCTGTTCTACAAACACACCACAATGTCAGAAGCTTTTCCTTCTCCATTCCCTTACAGCTCTAWCTACCCTTCTAGTTTTACCTATATCAGCCCTATTTTTGAGCAGCCAGATAACAATGGTAAGACACCCTCTTCCTTACAATGTARAACAATAAAGGACCAAAGACAGAAAAACTCTAAACAGACTTTCCCAAAACAGGCACTCTAAAGTTTTTAARACCAGAAAAATAACTGTTATCTCTAATTCTAATCAGCTCTACTGCACCTCTTTTAACTTTATACCATTCTCACCTTTCTAGTTCTGCTATCTTCTTATCCTTATCATTCTTCTCATTTTCCATCTCTTTCAAGATCTCCAGAAGACGATCCACTTCAGCCTGAGCCTTGCCAGATTCTTCCCGATACCGTGTTACCTCTCTTTCCAGCTGCTGCATGCGGTCACTCAGCTCTGGACTGGCCCTTGCCTCCAGCATYGCCTCATGAGCCTGTAAGAAAAAGGTTCAAGAACAAAACACTTTGTTCACATTCACGTATTTTACAGATACTATGGCAATCCCAAAATGCCATCTAGACACCTATTTCAAAATGGCAAGGTTACTTATTACACAGAAATGTACAGGGCCTGTGCTACTCTTAAGTAAGGGGAAATAGTTTCTAGGAAAAGAAACATTTACAACAAATTTAATTTTTTTTTAATTCATCCCAAAAATACCCTGTGACTCTTAATCTGAAACAGAGTTGAAATAAAAAAATATGAAAAAATATATGAAAAAATATGAAAAAAAAATGAAAAAGGTTAACTTCTTTGAAAGAAAAGAAAAAGCAAGTGTGAGTGTAAAAGTTCCTAAAATACACTTCTAAAACAGCGACAGGACTACAGATTTAGTTATCTGAGGCATTTTTAATCTATACATACTAGAAAAAGAAATCACAGGTTAATAGCCTTCAATAATTACATCAATATGAAAAGAGTCAGATTTGCACAGATGGTGCCCATATACTCAAACCCTTGCTACCTCTGTGAGCCACACAGACCAAGGTTAATGAGCAGAGCTACMCACTGAAATTTTCTTTGTCTAGTTACCTAGGAAATACGTTTTTCAGAATCAGGCTATTGGGACAAAAGGTATCAGATGACTGAGGATAACATGACCTGATGAAGAGATTGTTTAGGTTTTTTTTAATGGTTTGGGTTGTTACAGAAATCACTAATTTATTAGTAAAATTAATTCAATAGTTCCCAAGCATGTAAGAGACAGGAGGAATGCAGCATATATGCAGCAGGTTAAACCAGCAGACTAAGGATTATCCTTTTTCTCTCACYCTGTCCCTCTGCACTTGGATCTTGAACTGCAATTTAATACCAATTAAAGCTATTTCAGAATTGCTCAAAATTGCTTCAGTGAATCGCAGGTTTGAGGGGGGAATTCTGCTGATCAGGGTTGCCTGCAAAAGCCAAGGCCTTGCTCTTCTTGAAACAAACCTACAACAGAAAATAAGACTACAGGCTTTTCTCCCTTCTGCGTGCAGCTGTGGRAAGTTGTTTTACAAGCTGCCAATGTTCTGCTCCAAAGCACACTAAGTCTAGATCTGATAGTATGGGACTCTGTTGCTTTTAAARGTAATTGGAGAGAACTGCAGCAGTATAAAAAGTCAGTGCTGAAAGCTGCTTCCAAAGAACCAAATGGCAAAATTACATTTGGCTAAATCTGTTTAGTTATTCAGTAAAATAAGACTGGAGGAAAATATCCATTTATTGACCCCGACATTTTTGCCTTGAAGTGTCTAGATTTTAATTAGCTTCTTTAAAGCCAAGACCACATTCTAGAACAATCCAGGAGACTTGTGGAGCAGAATATTCTGGGACTGGAAAAGTCTTGATGCCTGTCTTTACTGGGACTGACCTTGGGACAGATCTGGGTTTCCCAAACAAAAGGAAGGTTCACGTTCCAGGGCCTGCAGCTCTAGTCTGAGGGTCAATACTAAACTGTTTTGGTTTTCTTTTGTTTTTTTCTGAAACAAGAATTYCAGAAAGCTGGCTAACCTGGACAGTATTTTATCCTAGAACAAAATGCCTGGCATTCCCCAGGTCTCCCAGGCAGATGTTGGCAAGAGTGCCCAATAACTAAAAATCATGGAAGACCAGAACCCATCCCTGAGGTAATGCATTTAAGAAGACTTCAAAGGCTCCCTATTTCTGAGTGATTTTCAAATCAAACCCTGACACTCCTCTGTCACTGAACTRCAATCCTGTTTCTGGGGTTGTGACTGAGATCCAGGCACAAGGGTGAGCCTGGAAGCTTTGTGAAGCCTTCTGGAGTTAGGGTGGTCAATGTTTCCAGATTCCTTACTGCCCCATAAGCACTTTGAATTACACACACTTGGAAAGGGCTCTCCACAGCAAGTGGAAGTGTAATTAATGCCCTGCCAAGAGGATGCAGACTCCAGGAGGATGTGGCAGCAGCGAGACTGACAAGTGTGTCAGCTCCATGAACAGCTGCAAGCATCAGGGGACATACTTGGCTTTGGAAAGAGTGTTGGTGCGTGTTTCTGAAATGCCTTTTTGGGATTTCCAGCCTGCAGGAAATCTGAAATACTTGATTTCATTTCCTTTTCAACTACACCYTRAATTTAAAAAAAAAAAAATCCCCTGTTCTTCCTTCCCAAATACAGGGAACTTTGAATACTGTTTTCKGGGGCACCTATACACCCACTGAGGGCGTCTGTATTCTCCAAAGATACATCATCTACAGAGTTAATCTGTGTTTTCACCAGACACAGAGCCTGAGTTCTTCTGTACAGGACGTAGGTATGTTTCCAACATCTCAAATAGTTTGTTTTAACAAGTACTCCTCCAGGYTCTTTAAAGTCATCCAAAATACATGATCAGATAATCAAGAAACTTCTTATAAAAAAAGACAAAGTCACCGTGTTAGCCTGGCTTATTAAACTCTCTAATTCAAAAGAAGTTATAAGACCTAATGCAATTTGACTGTCAGAACAGTCCTGATTTATTTCACTCTGCTAATAAAAGCATCTCCACAACAACCCAAGAGACACTACTGAGAAGAGGAAATAAATTTTCTTTTCTAGAGAATTAGCCAACAAGTCAGTGTGTCTGGTTCTTATAGAACCAAAGGGCTATTTACACGACATAAATTATTAGTTAAGACACAGAACACATGTTATATGTATATAATGAACATAAGTATGGATACTTTCACCTAACACAAAGAGAACGTTATGTGATATGGTGAAAACTGGAGACCACTTCCTGCATTGTGACTTACTGACTGAGTGACTTTGGTCCATTTTGTGGGTTTTGTACAAAATACGTATTTCATGACCATATCTAAAATCCTACTGGATTCATTTATTGTCTAAGAGAGAAAACCAATGCATTTAGAGGTTTCCCACAAACTCAGATCAAGATTTGGAACAGATGRAATTGGCTACCTTCCCAATGCAACACTGTGCAAAATAATTCATCTTTTTTTCTCTAATCAAAAACCTAAACACAAATAATGAATTCCTCTAGTCACAGTAAAAAAAAACATATACAACTTGTCCCACGCACCAAAGGTGTACAGAAATTCCAAAATAAGTATTAATTTCATTTCTGAAGCAGAATCTACATATAAAGTGACAAATGCACCAAGAGTTTCTCCTGTATTAAGAAACTATAAGTGTAGTTCAGYAAGTTTCACTTTTATCTCTGCCTGATACAGTATTTGAAAATCTTCAGTCTTCTAATATAGTTACAAACAAATGCGCTAATTTGTAAAAGAAGTATGATAAAAATTAAATTTAAAAAGAAGCTTGTTTTAAGGTGAAGGGAACACTGCACTTTCTCATCTGCACAGGCCACTGAGTTTACTTGATTAGAGGCTATTTAAACCCCTTAATTGTTACTGCTGACCATGTATATTCCCTTGTGAAGTCAAACAGGTGAATTTAAGCTACTTTGAAGAGCACAACCAAACTTGCACATTTCATTCTGCATCAATCTACATAAGAAACAGTCACATTTTAGCTAGRAAGCAGCGCCCTCTTAAGCAAAGTTTTCATTAGCAAATCTCATCTGATCAGTATTAATCTTTKCCAGTGTGAATTCAGTTTCAAATTCTAAGTGGTTCAGGACTGAGAATAGGTTAAATTTACTACTCTGGATCTGCTCTCACAGTTCTTTAGAGGGATTATAAACTAAGAGGTGGTTTAACAGCTTTCTGCTTTCCTGCTCTTAGCCATCATTTCCCATCTGGAATGTGGTTAAGTGATGGGGTGAGTGTTYCAGGTACCTATAGAACATAAGAAAGAGTGATTGTTCCTCAAATAAATAAATGTACTACAACTTCTATTGCTTCCACAGAAAATCAGCTGACAAAGCCAACTTCTACAACTAAAACAAAGATGACCAATGTTTCACAGAAATAACCTCTATTTACAGATGGAGAGGAGTGGAAGACAAAACACATTAAAAAGAATTTTCTAAGTTGATATTTCTTGTGCCAAAAAACTCTTTTTTAAGAGGTAAGGTAATCTTAAACAGCTTAAAGTGTGCCAGAGACAGGGAAGAAAACAATAGGACGTATCTAATTTAAAAGTTCTAAAATAYAAATTCCAAACATTATGAACAAGATTCCAAATCAATATTCCTAAGGTATTAACTAAATCGAACAGCAAATAATTCCAAGCAAACACTTTCTACTTTTACCTATGAATTAAGACAGTAAAATTCAGTTTAACATTTCACATACAAACACTGCCAGGAACTTTTGGCCACGAAGTAAAAGTTCCCAAGATCCTGAAATCCCATTGTAATCTACCCTCCTACCTCCAAGGGTGCCTCATGTCTCCTAAAAATAGTAAAGCCACACAAAAATACAAAAATATATTATGATTATTTACTGCAAAAGACAAACACTTGACCGACCATCTGTACTTTTTCTACYACAAAGACAGAAATTCAAGTGATAAAATACTTGTGCTGTCTTCTATCGTGTCTTTATTAGTTTTAATGAAGTTGTAAATTTGAAAAACAATCAGACTTTCTACTCCTTTAGTTCTAAAGCTCTACACACCACAAACTGTAAAAAGCTGTTTGAAAAGGCTGGAATGGAAGTAAAAGGGTCAGAATGATTCTCTAATATACTATGTACTGTAAACTTGAGTCTGTCACAAAGAGTTATTTGCTGTCTTTTAACCATCTTTACATAGCTAGTCTTTGTTAATGTAACTGCACGTTTTTGACACTGAGTAAGCAAGTATTCAGGTGGAAACAATTCACAAAAAAGTTACTTTCTTTATGAAAAATCATAAAGAGAGGAAGATGCCTCAAGAGAGGCAACTTCCATTACTTTAAAAAGTAATCTCTCCACAAAGATACAGGGTCCCATAGTTGTCATTAAACACTAACAATTTGCTCTCTTCAGGATTATCCCTGACACAAAGAGTGTGCAAAAACAGGAGGGAAATGTCCACAGGA